GAAGCATTAGCCGAGTTCTTCTGAAAATGAGAAAAAAGGAGTGTAAGATTTGAAATAATTATTTTTAATAACAGTTCTGAATACGTGTGAATTGAAATTTAATATTCAGTTCTAGTTATTGTTAACCATTAAATCATGATTAGGTCACTAGATGGCAAAGTGTAGGTGCCTACCTCTGAAGCCGACTTTCCGGCCGTGTCATCCGGCCACGAAGCATCGGCGTCACCAACATTAAGCTCGGCCGGTTTTTCGTCACTTTTCTCCTTCGGAATGGCTTCCAGAAAATCAAAAGTACGCATCACAGCTTCCTCAGTATCCTGAAGGTGTACCGACTCTCGGTCAGATGGAACGCTAAAAGACGAGGTGTTTATATGAGTTTATTTAGAGTGAAAATGTGAAAAAAAATGTAGTTATTGGTCAGGTGATTGAATAAATGTCTGTTAATTTAGTATATTTCATAAAATGTAGGCCGGAAGAAGTAAGTAATCTAAAAGCTCACGTGTTCTGTGGAAAACTACCCGTCGAAAGAACCCTCAATAAGGATCTTTTGGGATTAAGTCCGGAAGCTTTTTCAAGATCAACTGTTGTATGAGACGCTTTGCTAAACATCTAGTGATGACCTCAAACGAGTCTTTATCGCACCTGATGTCTAGTAGTACACTTCGATGAGAGGCAGTGAAATGAATAACGGTATAAATTGTCTGCCATTGCCCACAATTTTAAGAAAGGTTACCTGGCAGTAGCTAAGCTGAACTGTTCCTCCGGTAAGTAGAGTATTACCTACATAAGCTCAATGGAACCTCCGTGAACCTATCTACTTGTCTACCTATATTGGTTATCAAGGCTTCCTTGCGCATAAACCTCAGCTATACTCAAGAGCTCCCTGCATTTTGAAGTCAAAGTTACTTGACTAATTAATCTAGGAAATAAAAATAGCAAACAGTGCTCAACGCTACCAGGATTCGCAGACCTACTTTTTGGCCGTATTATGACAGTACAAAAACGTAGAAGCCTGGTATAAGTAGGCTAACTGCGTAATTCGATCCTTCTTACTTCCTGCAGATCCTAATATTGACGACGTCGAAAACATAGAAATAAAATGTAAGTAAAACTCGAGAGTTGACTTTTATCAAGCCGAGAAAACAGTGCGAGAATAAGGCAACGCGCTGGGGGTGAAAACTGGTTCGCTCAGGCAAAAGCTGTCGAATACCCTAGATGGATGAGGAAGAAAACACATTACTTTTTGCAGAAATAAACAATTGTTAAACCGCGGCAGCTACTACTTTGCAAATATGGATGACAGAACGTAAAGGGGACTTCAACTCACCCATTTTTGACTGCTTCCAATTGGCCTTGATCTGAAACTTCGATACCAGTGGCACAGAGAAGCTGGCGTACACGGCTCTGCCGTACTTCTAACACAGAATCGGTATAGCCGAGTTCTTGTAAGAAACTAAAAGTTTAAAGAAATTTCCAAAGGATTAGTCGTAAAGGTAGTTAGTAGCTTTTGCACACACACACACGCACAAACGATTCAAGTAAAAAAGTGTCAAACCCATTAGCATTTGCGGGTGTAGGAGAACAAGCAACCGCCGGGATCAAATAAACGATAATGGCAATAACATATGATTACTGTTTTCACAAAGCGTTTTGAATCGATAGCCTAACAACGAATTTTCGACTGGAAGAAATTGCCGAATGTTTGGCAAAATCGTTCACGACGAAAAAATTTTAATTACCGAGAAAATCTGCTAAGATCACAGCTACGTTTATTTACAAATATTAGTGAAAAATTCTTCTGCAATTTTAATATCAGATTGACATGGAAGGATTGCAGAAAAAGCCGTCCGCAGTAGCTACACACTATCTCAACATGTGGCAAAAATTATATGGGCAAATTTCTACTTAAAGGGAAGATAGGAACATATACGCACAAAAACCACTGTGACCAAGTCAACAAAAATAAATATGTTAACTGGCAACTAAGATTCACTGCCTTCTTACTGTGTCAGCCTCTGTCGGCTTTCGCGCCATTTAGCGTTGCTCTGCGCTGCCTGTTCGGTGCAGCGCGCCAGCTGCTGACCTGGATCAAGAATGTGCTTATAGTCCTTAAGGTTTTCGGGGCCGAAATCGAGCCCCGATTTCGCATTTTCGTCCGCAACGTGATCCTGGCCAGAAGACATAGACGTTTTTAACTCCTGGTAACGGACACGTTCTTTTTTCAATGCGTGTTCCAGCATTTTTATTCTTCTGATCAAATCCTGCTTCAAGTTTTCCTGTCCACGCCTCTCCCCTTTAAGAAATGCAATTTCAGCCTACTCTCACTTAGTAGCCAATTAACTGACATACTCGAAGTTCGGAACGTTCCATCAACCACTGTGATTGTTGCAGCTCCATCCTCCGCCATTCCGATTGTATAAAATGCATAACACTCTGAATCGTGTACTGACTGCCACTTTCTTTCTGCTCAGTACTTCCATTGAGTTCGCCTCTTTCATACCCACCAATGCCTTGGGAGGCAAAAACAGTGCCTTCCTCCATTTTGCTTAAATATTGCGCGCTTAATGCCAGTTATCCTAGAACGGTTAAACTAAGCCTAAGTCCGGTTGCATATATGAAGTCAAAATATTGATATACTGACAGACAATAAATAAATTCAACCGGACTAAAAAGTTTTATTAGTTGCTGGTAACCAAGTTCATTATTTCCCAGTCAGTACCGTTTCCAGAAGGGATAGCGACAGTGCGCCTGTCACAAGTGGCAGTAGTTCCTAATGTTCTGAATGGACACAGTAAGGAATTGTGTATAAAGTTGTTTATAGCGAAAAATGCTTGCGTTACATCTATTTTATTCCATATTTTCACGTCTACTGTGCTTTCAGGACAATGCGAAATAA